GGGTGTGGAGTATTAGTTTCAGTTTTATTTTTTCATGTGGTTTTATTTATTAAGCAGCAACGGTTGATCGTCCACTNGACAAAACTTTTGCAATTCAGCGGTACTCTCGAAATAGTCGAAGTTTTTGAATAGTTGAAATGAAATGGACTGCTATAATCGAGCATTGTACCTTCCAAACTTTGTATAGTTATCATTGAACGACGAATTTCTCTGATATTTGATTGCTAAAAACCGTTTCTCTTGCTCAATTTCACTGACACACCCAAGATAATAAGATAAGCCACCAGAGTGGTTGCATTCAGGTGAAATGAGTTGCGTTTGAACTTTGATTTTGCATATTGAAAAAATGATAGTAGTAAATATGAGACTGTTGAATTACTTTCTTTAGAAATGACCATAATAGAAAGCAGATAGATGGGTGTGGAGTATTAGTTTCAGTTTTATTTTTTCATGTGGTTTTATTTATTAAGCAGCAACGGTTGATCGTCCACTGCTCGGTAAAATTGAGCAGTTTGAGTATTTATGCAAACAATGCAAAGAACAATCATTATTGCTGCTATAAAACAGAACAACGTGCAATATGAGGATTTGATGAGCAATAAAAACACTCTAGTAGCTCATCCTGTCAACAATGATTTGCTGACGTATACAAATTCGTAAATAATCAGCCATCAGTTTCGTGACAATAAGTAAATAATTCAGCGATAAAATTGGTGCATCTCACATTCATGATTCGTTACCTATTACGTTGATTATGTTAATATTATATTAGTGAGACGATCATGACTTGTGTTTCCCAAAGCAAATGACAGCAGAAGTGTAGCAGCAAAGATTTTCGTAAGCAGTGTGTCATTTCTGAATGAAATTGTTATGATGCAAACAATCAGATTCATACTTTGCCAACACAAAATGAGAATCTCCCTAACTTTTTCCTCCAAGTCAGTCGCGAAATCCACCTAAATACCCATCCCATTGTGCTGAACTCTGATCCATCAGCTTTGCACGGTGCACGTGCACTCACTAATCAAACACTCATCGAAAATATTCTCGAAGCATCAGTGTCGAAGTGATGTATTTCATGACTTTTCAGTGCTAACCGCGTTGTCTGAGATGCTATCTGCACCTCTGCTTGGATGTGCGCTGCGCAAAGATATAGCCGACTTGTACGTCAGTGATCCAGCCAAATTCGATAGCAATGCTGCTAAATTTTGCAACAACATGATAATTGTTCGAACGTATTAACTTCAGCGTTTCGTGGATGTTCTCCCCAAATGCATAAATTTTGTTAGTGTCACAATCTGAATGTGTTGTCTACCGAACAACATTCCACCTGGAATTATTAGTGCGAAGTAAATGAAATCCAGGCGATTTAACAATCTGCAAAATCCGTTAATGCATTTCACACTCCATTGCACTACTTACTTGGGCGGATAAACACAGAATTTCTTCTATAACAGCAGCTCAAAAATCGCGTTTTGAAAAATTTGTTATTTAATGCCAAATGTGTAGTTTGGTGCGCAATATTTTTGCAGCTTATATTCACATACCAATTGAAATGTCCCACGTTCGACTACCAGACTATCTGGTGATTGAAAACGTGAAAACTTTATCGTTGATACTGCTCATTTTACCTCCGCGGGTGAAGAAGAGTTGTTCTGATGAATGATATTGATCTCTTGGCAGATATATCAATGGTTCATGACTAAATGCGACTTATTCAGTTCAGAGTATTTTTGCAAACCCTACTCTGAATTCAGAGAATTCAGAGTAGGTTTTGCAAAATCCCGACGATTTTTCAATCCCGGGATCGGGATGTAATCCCGGGATCGATTTTTGATCCCGGGATAATCCCGGGATCAAAAAATTATTGAAAGATCGATGCGGGGTATGCAAAAACATATTTTTTCGAACCACTATGCTCATTATTAATCAGAAAGGAAAGTAAATGTAACGTTCGTTGTAAACGCTCTTCCCAACCACACGATATAAGTTAAGTACCCTCCACTACAGATGAATATGAGTATGCATTGTTTAGGTCGGATTGTGCACAGATCGACTTGGGAAAGCTTCGCTAACTCACTCATAGTTGGAATACTTCTTCCTGATTTTTGAAGTAATTGTTAACGATTCGACGGTATTTTGAAGATCGGGGAAAGCGATTCAATCAATAATACTCCTTCAACTGTTCGATCATAAGAATCTCAATGAAATTCCCGAAAAAAATTCAGAATAATCAGTTTTCCACACGAAGCCCCGGAATGAAGCAGTCGGGATGCGAATTTCAGCAATTCCGATATCATTATTTCAGAGATCTCACTCAGTTAATGCTGGGGTATCTCGAATAGGAAGATGGGAGCACAGAACATTCATACAGTCACGTTTGTAGGTATAAAGCACTTTAAAGAAGTCTTGGCATTCTAAATCATTTTCTCTTATCAAATCAGAGCGCTTGGATATTCTAGTGTGTGCGTAAGTCTTTTTCAATGAATCGTCTGATTCTACAGTAAAGAAGATATCTGAAAGACAGAAAAAAACATCATCTTCAATGACAACAGATGACAAACTAATGTCAATAGTGGCCGAATGCTTTCAGTTGCGATTGCTTAACCATTTTATCATGAAACAATTTTATTCCTAATTAATTCCTCGAAATGGATACTGAATTAAAAGTTAACATAGTTCAAGTACAATATTGCAATAATGAAACTGAAATTAAGCAGCGATATTTCGAGAGAATGGCTGTTGGATGTGGTTAATGGAGGGTTTGGTGGATTTGTTGAAGTGGAGGGAATCTCGGAGGACTCTCCTGAGACGGAACGTGGTGAGGATGTTTGAATTACTGGGGTTTCGGTTGCGATGGATGCGGTTATTGATGAGGGCGCTATTGTTAAAAATTCGGTTGTGGTAGGCTTTGGGAGTTCCGTTGTGGTAGTTTTTGGGACTTCGTTTGTTGTAGTCGTTGGGATTTGGGTTGTGGTAGTCGTTCGGGCTTGGGTTGTGGTAGTAGTTGGGGTTTGGGTTGTGGTAGTAGTTGGGGT